GTCGCCAGACACGTTACAATCTGGCCATACAATCTTTGTCCAATAAACTTTAGATCTACCAAAACTATGTAATATGAGGACCTCCCTAATCTATCCAATAAATCTGCATACAAGCAGGTAGGCCCTTGTACGACACACTTGTTGGTAGATCTAAAGGAGATTGTACAATCAAGGTTGTAATAGGTGTGGTGAGCTTTAGGATCAGAGCAGTGTTTGGCTATTGGCTATTTTACAGGTATGGCTTGATTTCAAAACTTTATTTTAGTGACTGGTCGCTTTAAGTACAGTTATTTACATCCAAACTTTGGACTGTAATCCTGTTATTACTGTGTACAAACTTGGAAGTGGAAGTTTTTATTCATAACTTCCATCACACAACAATCTTGTAATAGGAAAGAACATGAGAGGAAGAAGTGATAGGTCCTATTTACAGCTATATTTGCACACCTTTTAATTAGAAGGTTGGAAAGCAAGTAACTGAATAAGGGTCACTGTGAGCCCGGCTGAAATGGGTCAGTAGGTATGAGTTACAATATCGGTGCACATCATTGACAAAGTACACATTTCATTTGATAAGAAACCTTTTCATGAACACTTTGGCTCTTGACGCTTATTGCAACTAAAACGATAAAGAGATTCCTATTCTCTAATGTATCATTTGTATTCCACTTAATCATTTGTAAATTCCCAGCGTCACTTTGATATCCCTGAGCATGTTTAATAGCGTCTCAAAAACAATAATGTGTCACATTTCTACCTCTTTATTCATATACCATTGTACAAGTCTTCAAATATGTACGTTTAATCCTCCATTCACACTTGATCATGAGCGTTTTTTTGCACATTTTTGCACATTTTTGCAGGTGTATTTCAGGTGGCATAGTGGTTAGTGCTTCTGCCTTGTAGCACTGGAAGGTCCCTGGTTTGAATCCCAGCCACGTCACCATCTACAAGGAGTTTGCATGAGTTTCCTCCGGGTACTCCGTTTTTTTCCTTACTCCAAAGGCATGCTGGCAGGT